AGAAATAAATTCAAGCATCTAGTGAACGTTCCGTTATTTTCAAGGGTTTCTAAAAAATCTTTTCAAAAACCAACGTGCTTTCTATTGTTTCTAAAACTTTTGTTGATATCGAAAATATATGGCAGACAAAATGGAGTATGTTGAAGTTCGGGAGTGATTTCCATCGATTTCGACGGAGTTATGAATGTTTTAATTATCGCTAAAAACAACCAAACCACAAATGGGTTGTTTCACCTTCTATAGGCTTTCACTAGATGCTTGAATTTATTTCTAGAAACAAGCATTGGCACGAGACTCGGCATGGTTGAGAACCTATATTTGGAGTTATTTTTAAAGTTGTCAGATCTAACCGGACTGAACTGGGTTAGTTTCAGCAAAATTAGTGCTATGCCTAAACCAGGGTAGCTAGTGACCTCAGAGTCACATAGTTTTGCAAAGAACGCTTCAGACTAGTGAACTATGTAACTTAAATTTAAAATATATTTTGGCTTCGATATCTGGCAATCTCTTCTTTTTTCACCCATCTGGTACACCACCAGAAAATTGGACGTTGAAAACTCCTCATAAATCAAAAGACGCAGTAAACATCTCTCTATAAAACGATGAAAACCACATCTTTCTATTACTTTTCGTTCTTGAGTTATGAAAAAAACAGTCGATTTGAAATGATTTTAATTAAACATCTTTTTTATTGATTATAGAGTGATCCAGATCTTGGTGAATTAACTATATCATTATGTTATCTTCCAAATGCAAAGCGTGTTACCGTCACCGTAGTGAAAGCAACTAATCTCAAACCAATGGATATTACGGGTAAATCAGGTAAGTCTTGTGTATAATAATTACTGTAGATACTTTCTTTCTTCAATGTTGTTATCTTTAGATCCTTATATTAAAATAATATTATTTTTACACGGACGCAAAGTGAAAAAAAAGAAGACGGCTGTTGCTTACAATACACTGAATCCAACTTATAATGAAAGTATGGAATTTGATGTTACTCTTGAATCGGTTGAAGATGCCGATTTAATATTTAAAGTGATGGATTATGATCGAGTAGGAGCTAATGAGTTAATTGGCTGCGTGGGAATTGGACCGCATTTCGATGGCGCTAATCGGGATCATTGGTATACGATGATCGAGCATCCGCGTGTACCAATAACAGAAAGTTATAATTTACGTGACTCGACACCACCAATCACATGCACGAGTCCAACTCAACAAAAAGCGCCAATAATTAATGATAGTATTCTCAAATAATCTTTCTTTTCTTTGTGTCGTCCCGTTTGTTATCCTTTGTTAAATCTACATGAATGTTTTTTATATATATGAATAAAAACTGCATTTAAGAATCGGTCATATGATTAGAATATTAAAATTTTTCTTGTCAGAATGTAAACGTATAAGTAAATCTGTTAGCAAATTTCCCTTTCATATGTTATTTTAACAATCACGTATTGTTACTACGCACACACACACATACACACACAAAAGGAAAAGCTCACAAACACTACAAATAATATAAGAGAAAATCGACACATTTCTATTTAAAATATATCGAACAATACACGACGGACACCTTTTTCCATATCATATTTTCGTGATTTATGTATGGTCTCAAGGCTCTATTTTACGCTCGAAAAATAGAGAATTTGTCGCTTCACAAACTCTATTATGTTCTAAATGAAGGTCTTGTTTTATGATGAGGAAAATGATAAAGAATGTGGAAAACTAATAGTTGCTAGATGCGTGAAAATATTCAGGAAGTTTGTCTCTATAGCTCTATCCAAACTCCTCGTTCTAAAACCGACTATCTAAAAAATTGGATAAACAACGCTATAGATCGAGAAGAAGAATACAGTAAATAATAAGCATGAACCTTGAATTTAAATTATACGTGAAGCGCGTGTCGTTTGATTATAATTCATAAGCGTATTCGAAAAGCCAAGTCAAGAAGAATGCTATTTTTCGATGAAAAACAATTTAACATCGATGGCCTGTACAAATGGCAGAATGTGGGCGCCGGATCGTTCTTAAAAACTGATGTGAGATAACTGAGTCCTACTTTTTTTTGTAGAGAAGAAAATTAAAATCGGTGTAGAAATATATATATTAAATAGATTCTATCTCACGAAACCTATCCAAGTGATACCTTCCGATTTCGTTCCTTCATACGTCAATCGATAGAGAGTATCGAGCTAGTAAAAAACCTAAAAGGATTTTCCCTCATGACTCTTGAAGACCCGATTTTCTGAAAAACCAGTTTTTTAGAAACTCTAAAAAATAACCAAGACCTTTCTTAATGAGGCATTAGAGTTTCTGAAAAAGTGGTTTTTCAGAAAATCGGGTCTTCAAGAGTCATGGAGAAAAATCCCTTTAGGCTTTTTACTAGCTCGATATCCTCTATGGATCGACGTATGAAGGAATGAAATCGGAAGGTGTCACTTGGATAGGTTTCGTCGTTAGTGGTCATTTATAACTTTATTTCCGTCTTAAGAAAAAAAAGCTGTATTTTATCTAGTGGAACTACTGAGCATCAAATACCCAAAAAAGTAACCTATGACCAGTATGTCTTAGGTACTTGAGTACTTTAGGATACCTGACGGGTACTCTGCGGAAATATTCTGAGTAACTAGTATTCACTATCATTCTTGATTTTATTTGTTCTTCTACAAGATTCTCAACTTGATGTTCTTCACTTTTTATTGATTAGTCGATGTTACACAGATAGGGTTTCTTTTTTTGTTTATTACCGTACTACTCTCTCTTGTAAGGTGGAATAGATTCAGACATAAAATGATATATTCGATTTTCCTGTTTTATACTATTATTATATCTTTTTTGATGTTATTAATAAAACTTGATTAGAAAAACAAAACAAAAACGATTAGGCACTCATCAGTCCCTAAAAGGATTTACTTCAAGTATATCCAACTAATATACTGTCAAATATTTGAAGCAATTTTTAACTAATTATTTTTGAATAGGTTATCTGGCAGTGACCGACTTGTTTAGCAGACGATTCAGTCTTCTGTATGTCAAGAGAGTCGTCTGCATGTTGACGAAAACCATTGCTATTTTTCAAGAATGAGATATGTTTATGTAGTAGAAACGGTGGAAACAAACAGTTCACACAGTGCACTTATCCATTTAATGCACAAGCGAAAAACTCAATAATTTATCGGCGTGATCACATTATGTTCGCAGAGTCCTCCGATGCGAACTTAACTAAAGGAGATTTCGAATCGCTGGCGACCGTCCGAGTAAAACAGCGCCTAGAAAAGATACTCCAGCATCGCGCTATGAAGACGAAACATCTAATTCTTCTGTATTCTTAGTAAAAGCGATGTTGGGCTTATCTGCGCCCGCGGCCTTGGCAGCCCAGAGCAAGATCTGATGATGAGTACATGGACACGCAAAACAAAATGATCATTGAAACATGCACGGGTATCTTGGTGAAACTTTTTCAGTAATTGGGTATTCAGTCACAGTCAGCATATCTAGATATCCAGTCGATATTTATACTAAAATTGTTGATCCGCACCCTAAATTGATCCGATACCCTGCAAAGACTTATTCATTATTAAAGTGTCTTAAATTCAGTGCATTCACTAGGGCTACTTGTTATGCTTTTTCAAGACGCGAAAAACAAATATTTTATCATGTTTTCAGACGGAGAAATAAGGTTTGAAATTTTTATAATTAGCGCATTAGGAGTGGTCTGATTCATCGGAAAACAGAATTCCTTCGAAAGCTTAACCTTTATCCAAATACATTTATGCATCGAACGTTGTTTCCTTTTTTGATGAGAGAGCAATGTGGATCCATGCGAAAACTTCTAGTTGTTTACCTACAAGCATTTTTATGGTAAACATAAAAAATAAAGATAAATAAATACAGTAAAGCACAATAAAAAAATAAATGAGAAATTTAATTTCAAAATTTATGAAACAAATAAAAGCAAAAATGAATTGAAATTTCGTTTTGACAATACACAAAAATGCACTCAAACAAATGAAACACGACTGTTCATATTGATAATAAAAATGAGAAATAAATGTTTTTCAAAAAGAAATTAGGTGAAAATCAATGGCATTCGGAACGTTTCCATCATGATATACTATATTTCAAAATAGCATCAATACATCATGTGACCTTGATACACAAACACAATTGAACAATCACAGCCGAATTTGAGTAATGAATGACTCGATGAAAATCCAGTTATGCCAAAAATTGATGCATTTCATCGTCACTATAGCCAATGGCTCTCAAATCACTGAAATAAAGAGAAATAAACTATGTTTATGGTGCATTACTTATGCAGTTAAGGGCATTGCTTCGTGCAAATTTTTATATGAATGGAGGAAAATAAATCCCGTTCTCAATCCAACAGAAGAAAACAAAATCAGAATAAATCAGATACTATTGTCGGAACTGCCTATACAAGATCATAGCAAATAAAGTGTCGTTCACAGAACTTGTTAACAGATGTAGACGTGTGTTCTGTCCACTCAGTATTGTAACATTCAGATGTGTACTGATTTGTTGCTGTCACACTGTACAGGAATCGTGCACTTCTTCCCAAACACAACTGTATATTATCGTTGCTAGGGTGAGTAGATGGAGAGATAGTTGTAACGAACCCGGTTGCATTAGATTAAAATAAACAAAATCTAGAGTATCTTAACACACGAAAATATTCGTTGCTAGGACGGTTACGATCTGTTCACATTACGTATGAAAGGAATCGACATGAAGTATTGTTAACACGAGGTATTCACTTTAATTACTTTTTAATACTAAATATTCCTCTCGCTAAAATATGACTTTCAAAATATGTTTGCATTTTGTTTAAATGTGTCAGTGATGCGTGTGTGTATGTAGTGTGCTTCGCTCAAAATATTGCTCAAAGATTCTTGCATTTTTCTATCTTTTCTATTGAGAGATATGACAGAGTATTTCTATCGTTTCATCCTACGCTTGTCAAGTGTATTTAGAACAAAGCCGTAAACTTACGTCGCTGCTAATTTTGTAAATGCTAATGGTCCACATATACATATAAGTGTTTGATCTTTCTTATCATGTTTTGGAAGTAATCTTTTTAATAATTCGCCCCTCACATAACCCGTTTCTCCCGTCCATGTTGAATCTGGTCTCGATAGAATATTATGATAGATGAATCTAAAACAAAACAAAAAACATACATTTTTCTATCATTAATTATATTTGGATTTTTCTTTCTTTCATACTTATTCTTATTTTTTTGACTCAGAGAAGTCAATTCTTTACGAAATAAAATATCATTTTGAGTTTTATTAAAAAATAATAGAACGACATTTTTTAGATTTTGCTTTGTTTCTCCAAATGAATTATTGATGATACGCATCATGGGTGAGAAACCAGTACCAGCAGCGATCAATATTAATATTTTACATGTTTCTAATCGATACACATCAAAATTGCCTTCGAATACACTCATTTCAGCCTGTTCACCTAAAACAAATAAAACATCAGTTTTACACCATAGATAATCAGTTTTCTGAAATGAATGTACCTATTTCCAGCGTTTTCAAAAGTGGAGTAAAATTTCCATCTGAATAATATTTGACTAGTAGATCAATAACTTTTTCATCTCGTCGTAATTTACCTTCCAGTGGTCCAATAATCGTATATGGCTTAACGAGTGACACATCTGAAAATGAGAATGATTTATAAAACTTTGTTACTTGTATATTCACAAAAATTACAGACCATTTTTATTCAATTTTAAACGTATATGATAACCAATTGGAGGATGCATGTGTATACCATTTTGTAATGAAAATTTTAGCCAGTAAGTATCGTGTGTTATTTGTTGACGTTCCATCAATGTCACCGAGAAATATAAAGGATCTTAAAAAGAAAAAAGAGATGAAGATTGATGATCTGTTTCTCTAAACTAGATAGCAATATACGTACCAAAATTTTTAATATTACAATATGACAAATGTTTATCTGTAAAGTTACCAATCATTTTCCATATTTTATGTTGCACTTTTTTCAGTTCAATTTCTATTCGACCTTTTTCTGTGGCAATACGAACTAAAGAACAGAAAATATTTAAGAAAATAAATTTTTAAAAAATCGTATTCAATATCTACTATTAAAGTCCGTTGTAACAGGTTCAAATAATTCTAAAGAGAAAAGATTAAAGATTAAGTATTTAACTAAAATACACATTTTTTTAAAGAAAATAATATTGAAGAAAAACTTGTCTACTAACCTACCATGATTGTATGTATAATATCATCGATATAAATGAATGATATAAATGTTGTGGCTTTATTTAACAGAATAATAATATCTTGGTATGTTAAAAAATTTGTTTTCGATGTATAAATACATAGAGTTACTGTCTGCTCATTTTGAAAAAAATCAAATGATAAACGTTCTACATTAGCCGTTGTACCTTGGATATTTAATGCTTTTGTTTTTTCGTCAAGTTGGTCATGTCTTGGTTTAATTAATCGTCCAACAAGACATTTTTCCAACATATTCGAATAGTTCACCTAACAGCATGACCAAGTATTAATGAAAATATAGGGTGATCCAAAGGTGGGCTTTACCGAGGTAGACACACATTATTCTGTACATTTTTATTTTGATTAAGCTCGTTTTTATACCAAAAGATTCCCCGTTGAAATTCATAATAAAACAAAATGTATTGACTGTTTTATTGCAAAATCGAAAAAGGTGCAAAAATGCCGTAAGAAATTGTGATAAGTACCAAAATGTAGAAAAAATAAACGTATTTACAGTTTTTTTTAGTATTATCTGTTAAAAGTTTGTGAGAGAAGAAAGCTGAAGTAGGAATCGTGTACGTCTCAAAAAGCTGTATTTTTCATCTATAATTTAAATAATTTTCAGTTAGAATTGAGGGCGTAAGTATTTCAGTTTTTTTTTGACGATTTTTTACCAATAATTTGAGCCTTCTAATAAAACAAATAAAGATTAGTCAAACTTGATCCATTCAGGTTGATTTTTTTAATTTTAAAAACAAGTGATTAGTCGTTATAATCAGATTTGGAAAAAACAAATTGTTTTGGTCCACCGTGCAAAAAAATGGTAACAACTTTTGCTATTTTCACTTGATTGCTGAGAAATTAATCTTTGCGTCAGATATTTAGATTCAAATGATTTTCGCTCTACACGACCAGAAAGAACGTATTTGAAACTACACAAAACTAAACTGAAACTATGTTTTAATGCTTGTGAAACCATTCGAAAAAATTTCGCGCTCTTTAAGAAAATACGTTATTTTTTTCTACATTTTGGTACTTCTCACAATTTCTTATGGCATTTTACAATAAAACAGTCAATACATTTTTTTTGTTATGAATTTCAACGGGGAATCTTTTGGTATAAAAACGAGCTTAATCAAAATAAAAATGTACAGAATAATGTGTATCTCTACATCGGTAAAGTCACTTTTGGGCCACCCTTTATGTTAACTGTGTGTGTATGTGTATTCTTACCCATGGATGAACCTCTTGAAATAATACTGTTCCATCTATTCCAGCACCTTTCAATCAAACGAATATATTCTTAAAAGTATTTGTTGAACAAACATTGATACAATTCACCATTCATACCTCTCATAATTTCGTCAATTCCACCGGGATGATATTCCAAATATGGAGTTATATTATATACATTGCCTGTAAATATAAAAGTAAATATAGACATGATGTATCATTAATAAACTTAATATCTCACCATGTATTGCTATCCAACAATCCTTTTGTGTATTATGATTGCATAATTCCTCCTGCGTCACTTGCAATAACTTTCCATTTGTTCCTGAAATATTCGGTGTATTTGTCATATAACGAATCCAGTCCATTAATGAACGTCCACGAGCTAAACCAATCTAATCAAATAAAACAAAATATAATTTAACAATAAGAATATTATCAACTTTATTCAACAGTTTAAATTAGCAAGATTATCATACTTTGGCTTTTGGCGTGGACGAAATTGTAGTTTTCGGTGGTATTTGAAGATAATTCATATTATCGTTGTTTTTTGATGATGGATGCACCCGTTTTGTGTAAGTTGGACAACAGCCACAGTAGAAATCACGTTGAACTAAACAAATCTAACTATTTTAAGAAAAAGAATATCGATTTTTTTTCTGCAGTAAAATTTTAGATAGAGATGAATATACGTCAATTTTTTATTTTCACACTAGTTTTTAAATGATTATTTTCGATTTAGAGTGAAAGAAAATTTTATTTTATTTTTTATTTTAAATGAATAAATGTATTTTGACATTTAAAATTACTCACGTCGTGTTGTCTTTTCAGTTACATTCATTATTCTATTCTAATCTCATAAATTGCAAGGAAAAGAGTTCTTGAAGCTTCGTAAAAATGATCATCTTACAAAGTACAACATGAAATATTTTTATTAATCTTTTCTTTACTGAATGTTTAGTTGTCTTTTCTTTTTTATTATTTGTCTACGTAGACCACGCGAGAAATATCTATATTTCATTGTAATCCAGTTCTCCATTATTATAAATAAAAAATAATTCACATGCAAAAAAATTTTGCAACTACGTCCGATTGAACTAACATTTCATACTAAAGAGAATATAAAGTTTAAGTGATGCAAGTAAGAAAAGAACGGAAGTTAAAAAGCAAAAAAAAGGATGAGAAAAAACAGATAAGTTTAGATTTTAATGGAAAAAGCAGAAGAAGCTAAAAAGTTTTGTTTTTAGATTAACGACCAATGAACTTTGAGAGATGCAAACTTTCTGAGATAAAATATTTTTACTTTTTGAATAAATAAATACATTGATCAAAATATTTTAGACGATATTTTTTTGTTCTGACAAAATAAAGGTAGAGTGTCAGAAGGATTTTGTTTTCTAGATCTTCTTGACAAATTAGCAAAGAAAAAAAATATTATTTCACTTCTTTTTTGACGCTACATCTCTAAAAGTTGTATCATTTATCTACATTATGTTGGTTTACGTAATCTAAGAATTTTGTTTTTTTGATTTTCAAAGTTTCCAAAGGTATAGCCAATTGTTGACAATTAATTTGAACAATTGAAAATGAGACACTACATTAAATGGAGGCAGAAATAAATGGTGAACAAATCTGGCTCATGCATGTATAAGGTAAGACTGATTATAATTACGGATATGTTTATGCTACTCTGATTGTCAAACAATTTAATGAGATCATACTAAAAAGTTAACAAAGCTAATACGTTGATATACAAACATCAACTGTTTTAACTTTATAAGATAGAAATACAATGTAAAAGAGATTAGGCATAGTTTAAGATTCACACATTTGTTTCATGAATGATTCGTCAGTGTGGAGACATATTTCAATCTTTTTTTACAGCAAAATTTTATTTTATATCTCGTACAGGATATAGTTTGAAATTATATTCCGATCAGGATATATTCTAATTGAAATATCAAAAAATCTATATTCGGATCAGGAGTAGGAATGTTCGGTTCTCTTATTTTCGGTTCTTCCTCAAGAATCGGAATCGCGCTACCGGTTCTGACAATGGAACCGGAACTGCGGTTCTCTTATTTCCGATTCTTCATCAGGAATCGTTGAATTTTTTCTGTCTGTTTAATTATTAAATTATTTTCTAGTTCTAAGCTGAGAACCGAGAAGCGCTGTTCTATTCTAAGTTCGAAACCGCGGTTTCTTTCGTTTCAGTTCTAAGTTGAGAACCGGAACCGAGAACCGAACATCCCGAATCAGGATATCAAAAATTTTAATTTTTCGATGACGTTCTTTTAGCCTCTTCAGAATGTTAGCTTCACGACTGTTATGCATTTTAAAAGATGTGATTCACTTAAAAAATATAAGGCAGTTTATCTGCAAGAATGACTAGTTGAAAAATTTCCCGTTAAAACACAAAGCACGTGCACTTAACTATATATTGTCGACGCATCAGAAAAGAAATGTGTTTCAATATAAGCGTGTATCAACAAGGAAGAAACGGGAAAAGACGGTCGGTGTGGAAAGCGATTAGATCTAGAGTATATCCCATTCTAAGCAATAAAAGGTTAACCGTCTATTTTCCAATCGGGGTATAAATTCGACTAAAATTTGTTAAAAGTTTTTGTTCGAAAAAATAGTTTCTGGGTGTTTGACAGACACTGATGGGTTTAAAACTGTTTTTTAAAAGTTAAAAGTTGAGAAAATTCCTAAAAAAGTTGATACAGTTAAAACCCTAATTATAACTATGAGCCACGGTTATAACTATCAACTGGGATTGACCGATAAAACTGCGGTTGAACGAGTTACAACTCCAAATGGGTAGAGTGATAACCATTCCAACTGCATCAGTTTTAGTAATGACTACCAACCCAAAATAAAATTATGAAAGCTCATTTCTGTTTGTACTATGGCACAGTTATAACTAAAGTTGAAATAGTTATAACTCTCTCAACTGCAGTTATATCAATCAACGCGAGTTGATAGTTATAACTATTGTAAATTTCTGACTAAAAGTTAAATTAGTTACAACTAATTTTAACTCCAACTAGTTATAACTCGGGTAATTTTAAACCCATCAGTGTTGACAGACTTTTAATCAAACACAAAAGAATTCGATGTAGGTTTTCGAGTTCTTTCTAATGGTGAGATCTATTTTTTCCCATAACATTGTCGTTTTTCCCTTAATCGATTTCACGGCGAAATTTTGCGTCTTATATCTCGATCAGGATACAGGTGTTTCCTTACTGTTTGTGGGTACATTCAACATGAAGTAAATTACAATTACGAACACTCGATTCAGACACCAATGGGAAACTACAGAGATATCTTGTTGTAATAATTTATCATTCATTGAGCGAGTATTTTGGACATCCATTTGCCAACATGGTATGAAAGTTCAGCAGTTAGATTCTTTTCACAGGATATATTGGAACTTAAACAAATCTACATTCATCCTTCATCCTTCGTCCAAAGTCAATGAGAATATAAAACGTAAATACTGAGAATATTCGTTGCAAACAACATAAAACTGATGTATCGTTTCTCGATAATAGTTATAGTAATGAATTAAGTTTAGATGTTCCATTTATGTTTGTTAAACGCTACATATTACAGTATTCGAATAGATTATATGATGCTATACATAGCTAGTGTGCAGTGAACATATCATTTAATGTTAGATGTGAAAATTAGAAACAGCATACAATATTTACATTCAAAATAAATTAAATTTTTAACAATCACAATCTGGACGCATTAGCGCGCATATTCTCAATGTATCTATGAAGGTATGGATTGATTCTTTTCAATTGTGCAATATAAACTTAACTGACAAAGAAAAAAATATGGTCAAAGTATACCGGCATTGTCCAATAAAGTTATTACAGTTGTAATATAAGCAGTGATCTTCATACAGAACTGTATGATAGAACGGATGATGCATCACATTTGACAAATACTCGTGGGTTTAACGAACAAGAATCATTAAAAGTACATAAAAGGCAATTCAATATACAACTGGTTTAAGTAGTAAATTTTCATGGAATAAAATTACTAAGCTTCATTACTACAATAAAATGTGTTTCGGCAGTCCGTAGAACATTCGACGCTGTTAAAATCAACAGAGACTATCCAATTACATATCTGCGCAAACTACTTCAACTAACAGACACTTTCTCGAAACGTTATAACACTTTTAACTTTTTATTCTGCTAAAATATTCAAGTTGTACAGAATTTGTATATAGAATGTCCTGTAACTCGATAAATATTTGTTTGGTAGCTCGAATCATTTATACACACATCTAACTAAATATTCTTTACAGATTGAAACTATTTGGATTTGTGCTAAAGAAAATTTATGATAGATCTCTACAAATTTTTGAGCCTTGACGGAAAAGCTAGACAATAGACTAGAATATCAGATTCGCAATATCCATCTGCGGCTCAGAAAGAAAACGAATGGACAGTTAGAGAACTTCTCATACTTAGTTAGATTTTTACATCATAATAATGCAAACTATCGATACTTACATATCAGTCTCTATAAGTTTTCGATTCGATGATATTAAACATAAAATAAAACCATATTTGACGCACTATAAACTACTATTATCTAAAATATCTCCCAATTCGCCCTTGTGTATTATATCCTAAGATAGAATTGTAATTGTCTAAATCTTAGAATTCATTTATTTTTAGAGAAAACTTAGAAAAAAAAACTTTTTTACTTTCTTTTTTTACTACTTCTGGTCCTAACGTTAGTTGTCTTGTTTATTCTGTTCTTTTTTTACTCTTTTGATGTTGCTTGGCTTGAGTCATTGTTATTACAGGTCGGTGACCTTTGATGACTCACACTTTTCGT